TTTCGTCGACCCAAGAAGGTCGCACACGAGTAAGCATTTTTATTCCCCTTATTTTATTTGTGCTGACGATATACGTGAAATAGCACCACACCCCCATTGCTTTGTGTGCACATATTCAATTCTCACTTCAAACCACCGTTATACTACCTTGCAGTTAAATCTCTAATAGTCTAAACCGACGGTTAACTTACATCTTAGTCTATTTTTCTCGCTAAAACTATCCTATGAGATTTGTTAAGCACTTGCTTATTTTTCTCGTGAAAAAACCTTGTTTATTTTTCGACAGAGTTTAACACCGAACCAGCATTAGGTTTTACTTTTATCGACATCCCATTTCTCTCCTGGTTAGAAGATTACATCACTGGTCGGAAGCAGACAGTTAAGTTAGGCGATTATATGTCTTAGTCAGAAGACAGTACCAGTGACGTATTGGAAAGCACTGTACTTGGCCATCTTCGTTTCTTGATATGTATCAACGGTTTTATCAATACAATAAGAAAAGCAAGACAATCATCTATATACAAATTGGTATACTGTCGAGTCTCAATGTGTATTCCTTGTTTTCAAAATCCTATGTGACCTTGACCCACGAGAGGAATGATGTGTCGGATTTTTCATGAAAAGTAAAACCTAGGTATAGTATCAGGGCTGCGGATTCAGCGTTTCATTCGGATGTTTTGTTTTGCGTGAGATTTTACTCGCTTGACTGACTACATACTTGAACTAGACTTCTGTTACTCAGGTTCGTTAAATTTCAAGGCCGAATTTGAGTATACTATGACTAAAACACGATGGACTCTTGCGATGAGAGGCCGCTTGTTTGTAACAAGCGAAGTCGAACTCTGGTCATCTAAACTATAGAGCATTGTGTCACCAGTTTCAGTCCCATTGCAACATGCGACACATTCGCAACCAAATATACATAAAAGGCTATTACGAACAGGTTTGTGGATTGCACCTCAACACAGTTATAAAGATATGTGGGGTTTGTCAAAATTCGAGCCACTATGACTTCGAAGATTAAGGCAGAATGTATGTCTGGTATGTTCAAATAGTCAATCGACTGACATACACACATTACTGTCAGCCGGTATTCAAATAATCTTCCTCGTAAGACCTAAGAAACAGAGAATATGGGTTAAGACTATATAATTACAGCAGTCGTCCAAAGTGAAATATCTCTACACTTAAACGTCCTAAGCTATGGAACTGATTCCTTTAAGTAATAGAAGCTCCTCTTCGATTCACATATTAAAGATGCAACTAACAGAGTACTGGTAAATTCCATACATTTAGTAGGGTTGAATGATATTTCATCACGAGGGTCTAGGTGCAGTCTACTCTTTTCTTTAACTTTGTTGTTTTGGTTAGATTTCCCCGGAGAGTAGAATCCTGCTATTAATGCTTTGAAAATAAGCACCGCTTAGTACTGCATTGTAGCCAGCCTACTGGATTTCCTTTTGCCATATTTTCGGTAACTTCCTCTGGAAGGATTTGGATGCATCCACCTAACTGTCATATTTACAGAATATGCCCATGTAGCTCTTTCCGTTTGTTGTTCGTCGGTTTACTGTTCTCTCTTACCCAGTGCCGATTTCAAGCGTAATGTTCCACAGTGACATTGTGAGAGCAGGTAGTTTTTGCGTTTTAAACCTACCGCCCAATTCAGGTGGTGAGTTAAGGCGCGAACGCATTGTTGTACTTAAATGGAAATACAATTTCCTACAAATTCCACTTTGAATTCTTAGATACGACTTTGATACGACTTATAATAAGCGTTTATAAAAAAGTCGTTAATCCGCTCGTTTGCATACTTCGCTTTGGTGGAATTCAGCGTTCCAAAGGAAAGAT